TTTTTATTTTTTATTTTTTGGCAGAACCGGGAATTGAGCTCAGACCCTTGCACTTGCCAGAGAAGCGCTTATTCCACTGAGCCATCTTCCCGGCCCATTACTACATGTTTTAGTTCAGAAATTATTTCTGATTTGATTTCTTCTATACCTTTCTGCAGTTGTTTCTTTACTGCCAACGCTATTATTTCAGAGATATCAGGTGTGTGATTTCCAGTTTCCTCTATGCTAGTGTCTTCTACCTTTGTACTGGGTGAACTCACGGCCCGAGACTGCATTTTGTTCCTTCTCTTTGTCATTTTGTATCCCACTGTTTTCTGACCTTTGGTGTAGAGCTTAGATAGAGTTATTACCTTAGCACCAGATCCAGATCTACAAAGTTCAGATTCCTCCAGGTGGGTGTTGCTTGGATCTGGCTGCTGTGCTCCACTTCTTTTTGCTGCAGCCATTAGATTTGAGCCCTTTGTGTCACTCTGGCAAGATGTTCTGTTCATGAATCAGCTGGGTGGGTCTTGCCTCTAGCCTCTCTGCAGGGAGTTCTGCTGAAGGGTTCCACACTGGGCCTACACTCTTACACACCAGGCCTGTGCTCTGGGTCTATTCAGGATCCAGCGGCCCTGGGTCTTCTCTCTTTTTTTGCTTCTTTGAAAGCATCAGAAACTACTGATATTCCCGGCTGTGCCTAGGATGACCTAAGAGTCCTTCTGGCTCTCTCACAAGCATGTGCAGGGCACCTAGACAGTGGAAATACGTTTTCTGACCACCTTAGACGGAAGAGCTGGTAAGTTGGCACCTCAGCATGGGTCTGTACACAGGCTGCCAGCTCCATTCATCCAAGGCGACTGGCTGGGTGCAGAATAGGTCTCAGTACACAGCCCCACATTTACCTCGGGCCCCAGTGCATCCCTCTGAAAAGCCACACACCCCAGTTTCCCTTGCAGCTATCTGGGGTCCTGTGCCGAGGCTCTGGGCATGGTTCAGTCACGAAGCTGTTGTGCAGGACTCCTGGAAAGGGTGATAAGGAGGAACTGTCTCTGCTACTGCTGTGCTTACTACCTTTCCAGTGTTCCCTCTGCCCCTGGACACTAATCTAGACTGCTGCCTGGGACCCTAGGGGCCCTCTTCAATCCTGAAGTAACTTTAAGGATGGAGGATGTGCTCCGCTGATGGGACAACAAGATGGAGAGAGCATGGACTCTGAACAGCTTTTTAAGTTAAACTTTTATTTTGAAATAATTATAAGTTCACATACAGTTCTAAGAAGCAATAGAGAGCTACCCCAAAAGTACTCTTTACCAGTGTGATGGTTTAAATATGAAGTATCCCCCAAAGACTCATGCACTGAGGACGTGAAACCTCACCCATAGCTTAATGCGTCACAGCTGAACGAGCTGTAAGAAGGTGGGGCCTAGTTAGAGGACATAGGTCACTGGGACATTTCTTTGCAAGGTGCACCCTGTCCCCATTCCCTTCCTTTCTGGGGGCTTCATCCTCTGGGTTGTGCTGTCTGGCTATGGTGGCATGAGCAGTTTTCGCCTATCGTGCTCTTCTACCGTGAGTTTTCTGCCTTGGTACCAACTGACCATGGGCTGAACCCACCGAAACCACAGGCCACATTAGACATTTCCTCTTTTAAATTGAGGGTGTCAGTTGTGTATATCTAAGCACCATAAATACGACCAATACACCCAGTTTCCTTCTTAGTAACATCTTGCAAAATTACAGTACATCATTGTATCTAGGAGCTTGATATTGCTTTTTTCGGAACCAGGGATCAAACTCAAGATGTTGCACTTATACCACTGAGCTATCTCCCCAGCCCCTAGGATCTCGATACAGTTAAAATTCCTAATGTTCTACTTGAGCATCATATCCATTTCCTCCCACAGCTGTATACTCTCCTTAACCTCAGGAAACAACTAGTCCATTAGGACCTGGACATCAAGATAGGCAGAACTTCATTCTAGCCCTGAACCGTTGGAATAAGCTCTTATTGTTTTATTGATTGGGTGACATTGATACCTATTTTAATTAAGCCATCTCATTTAAGAAATCATACAGCCAAACATGACACTTTACTAATAGTGGCCCAGAACAGGAGGTCAAAGAATCACCATTAAGTTAGGTAAAATAAAGACCCATGTAGTTGGTTTCAAAGAAGTGGGAAATCTCAGTTGAATCAAGAAAAGATTAGAGATTGTTGCTTTCATGTGCTGCTGAATGTCCCTCCCGCGTGACAGTGACCCTGAAGTGATTTTGGCTGTTTTGATTCCATATCTATAATGTACCTTAAAATATTCTGTGTACTACTAGCATCTTCTTTATAAGAATTTATTACATTTTACATCTGCCTTTATGATTTCTGGAGGTGACAATATTTCCTTGGGAATTTCAGTTCTGAGTCTCCGAAAGAAGTTAGTGGAGAAAATAGAACTGTATGTTTATAAATGTTCTAGAAACTTGGAATGTGCCAGACACTCCATATGCCTAGACCCTGGAGAGTCCCCACTAGAGGCTCACCCTGTATAACATGACTTACAGCTAGGATGTCCTCCAGAGGCCTTGCGTGCTCAGAGCTAGGGCTTCCGGAAGGTGCTTGCAACATGGGAGCTTTGTACTCCTGAGTGAGTTGATCCATTGATGAGTTCATTGCTAAATGTGCTGTTAGGCAGTGGGACCTGGTCAGAAACGATACGTCACTGGGGTGTACTTTGGGGGATGTGTCTCCCTCCCTGGCCACTTCCTGGTTGCCATAAGAGGAGCAGCTTTCCTCCATCAAACCCTCATACCATGACTGGCCCTGGAGCCAGCCAATCATGGACTGAATCCCCTAAACCATGAACAAAATTGAACACCTCTCCTTTAAGTTCTGGGTGTTGGGTATCATGCCCCAGCAGAGGGGAGGCTGACCAATACACTGTATTTCCCTTTCCAGGGGCTGGCGTCAGAGAGGATGTGTTTCTCATTTGGAAGGAGTTGGAAGAAGCCTGTAGCACCCTTGCCCAGGTCCAGATGCTGGTGGCCGAGCCTCTGAAGTCCAATGTGGCCCCAACAGACTGGGGTGTGTATTCCTTATGGTCCCTATATGAAAGCATCATAAAGGGTGATTATTGGGGGTAGGAGACTGTTCCTGTGTTCCTAACATGAGGATAGCTTGGCTGAGCCATGAGAAGGGACTGTAGAGCCATTCTGTTGTGTGTGTATATATGTATGCATGTCCATGCATTGTTTGTAAATTATTGCATGATAACCAGAGCTGGCAAGTAGTTAAAATTGTACGAACAGATTCCTCAGGAACTATTGCAAGAGGGGAAACAGGTCCCAGTACAGAACCGGACTCAATTCTGAATACAACATGGATAAGTGGGCGTTTATAGCTCTGGAGCAGAGGTGAGGGTCAGTAGATGGAAAATTACAGAGAGAAAATGTGAAGGGTAAGGAGGATTCTGGCTAACCTGATCTGCGGGATTCTTGCTAAGCCAAAGTCTTCAGACAGCCCTTGGGGAATGGCGGGGATGAGGAATCTGATGCACTATCAAGGGTGATCAGATTCGGAGAGCAGGAGATTCTGGATACTTGGATGGAGCAGGCCTTAGGCCCAAGTCCAGCTACACAAAGATGAGCACTGTGGTGGTTATGGGGGAGAGTTACCCTGATTGGCTTTGAGATCCACCCAAGGGATTGGTGCAGCACATTTCTGGGTGTGGCTGGTTGGGTCATGAGGCATGGCCTTAGGATCCATGTCTGGTCCCTGGCCACTTCCTCTCTGGCACCAATGTGCTCTGCTTCCTGGCCACTGTGAACAAAGCCACTTTGCTCTGCCACACCCTTCCTGTCATAATATTCCCACCTTGGAGACAGCCAACACGCACTGAATCGCCCCAAACCATGAGCCAAACCAAACCTTTCCTCTTCACTTGTGGGAGTTAGGTATTATGGCTCAGCCACAGGGAAGCTCACTAATATGAGCACAGAGACCATACATTAGGGCCTAGGTGAGCAGAGGCTTCAGAGGGTCTGGGCTTAATTTTAGTCAAGGGGAGACACTACCAAGGGACACTCAAAATGTACTCTCAGAGGGACTGTGAGAACCAGAGGAGAGCAGTGATGGACAACCTGACCATCACACTGAATCACACTCAAGCTGTGGCAAGCAACCATCAGTGCCATCCTCAGATAATCACATGGAGGCCTAAATTCATTTTTTCACATCTTACCAATGACCGTCACCGTTCTGGAGCAGGATCTAGGACATTACTGCAGAAGGCTGGCCGGGCCGAGTGGGGGCATGGGCTGTTTCAAGGGGAGAGGGCAAACACAGGCTCACATCACTAGTATTAGAGGGACTTGTTCAGTTCACCTGTGTATCCTGGTCTTGAGCTTAGAGCTCTTTCATGGAATAGGGAGCAGCACCCGGAGTTTTAGCATTCAGAAAACCGACCAGCGCTCTTTAAATTGTGATGACGGCAACGATGACCCTAAGAGAGCGCTTCCTGTGGGTCAGGAGCGGCCCCTTCTATTTAGACCATTTGTTCTTTGTAACTCCACAGGAAGTCACAGGTGCTCTCTCCAGTTGACTAGTAACGAAACCGAGGCACAGAGAAATTAGGTAATTGGGGCATAATCCCACAGCATCCCCATGTGGGGTCTGGTGTTGAATTAAAAATGTAGAACATGGGCTTCCCCACTTGGCTATACTTTTTTTTTTTTTGTATGAGGGATTGAACCCAGAGCATGCACACTAAGCTACACCCCAAGCTTGTTTTTTAAATAATTTAGAGACAAAGCCTCAGTAAGTTGCTCAGGCTGGGCTCAAACCGACAGTCCTGAGTGCTGTGACTGCAGGTACGCACCACCAGGCCCAGTTCTGATTATATTTTTAAAAAGTAGCAGTGGCGCAGTACTCATCCGAACATTGCTTTTCTGGTTACTAATTAGCATCTATCTGACCCTGAATAAATGAAAGTGCTCACCTGCTAATTGATGTAGTCCAGCCCTTGCTGTGCCAGAGGAGCAAGCTCCATTAATTTTTATTAATGAATGACATCAAGACTACAAGGAATATTTTCTCTCTTCTTTTCTTGTCAACCAAAATATTTTCCAGAGCAAAGAGCCAACATTTTGTTGTAAGAGAGACTTAGTTGAAAATTCCAACCCCATCATTTCCTGTTCATTTTTTAAAATCTTATTTATTTTCTGCAAAATGACTATAATACTATCAATATGGAGAGTTTATTGTAAAAATTAAATAGAATCATGCATGCTTTGCAGTAAGCAGTTACCTAATGTCTTGCATATTTCCCCTTGCATCATTAGGGGCACTGATACACTGATTCTCCTGCATAAATTCTTGAGACAGGAGAGGATTTCCCACTGCATGGCACTGGTTTCCTTTAGGACACACCTGACAATAATAGCTAAGGCAGAAAGCACACAGCTTCTGGATCAGGCTCTGTTCTTGGTGCTTCACACTTTTAACTCACTGAATCCTTACTGCACATCTTCTGAGATGGGTCCTACTACACTGTCATCTCCATTTGGGCTTAATTAACTTACTCCAAGTCCTACTGCTAGTAAGTGATATAGCCTGGATTCAAAATCTACTGCTCTCCATCTCCCACTGTCAGAAAATCCACATGGAGGGCATTGGAATGTTTTTATTTTTTTTCCATAATTTTATTGATAAACAAATAGCAATGAGACAGTTTCAAATCAAATTGGTAGGACAGTTACAATAATTAACATATTGCATACATTCTTCCTAGTGGTTAATTGCTGTACAAGATGCGAATATGATATCCTATTTACAAACACCATTAGAACAAGTCACTCTATTCATTAAGAGAATGTAACTATATATCTATCCTAACCACTTTGAATACACAGATACAAAATGGACATTCATCTGTATCCCTTTTTTGTTAA